GGGGAACTTTTCGCCCAGGCGCCGGTGGAGCAGTTCCCTGGCATCGCTGTGGAGAACGTGACAGACTCCAGCAGATATTTTGTCATCCGGATCGAAGACGGGAACGGTACGTCACGATACACAGCGGACGGGTTGAGGGAATCGCCTTGGAAAGTCTCCAGTGCCCTCACTGTTCTTACTCACAAAGGATTCCTGCTTCCAAGGTCTAAATGTTCTCTGTGTACAGTGGCAAAGGGACAAATTACCTCGCTTCCCCATGCCAGCCTCACTCTGTCCTTCACCAGGAACTGAAACAGTCTAATCTTGCTGAGGATGCCTGACTGTGCAGGATTGTTGCCGCGATGCCAACCTCTGCTTTGACTCCCTTGTGTTAATTTAAAAACTGGTTTTACTAAGCCTGTACATGCTAAAGAGATCTCCAGTCCCGTAGCTCAGTCTCCGGAGTCCCAGTTCCAGCTGGAGGAGGCAGGACACGCGAGGGTGTGCGGGATGAGGTGTCCCGTCCCTTTCCTTCCTCTGCTTTGTGATTCCAGCCCTTGCTCTTCCTCCTTCCCCAGGCCGCCGTGCTTTCATTGGAGTCGGCTTCGTTGACCGAGGGGATGCTTTTGACTTCAACGTGGCTCTCCAAGACCATTTTAAGTGAGTTCGTGCTTCTCTCTGTGTCCTCTTTGCAGGTGTCCCCCAGAAATGGTGGGGGAGAGGAAGCTGCGAGCTCCTGTCACGCTTCAGCGGGCGAGCGTGGTATAAAGAGGTGGAGACGCCTGTTCCTCTGCTCAGCCGCTGTGCAGGCAGCCCTCCCTCTCAAATATTTCCCAGTGTTTATTAACAGGGTCCCAAACTGGGCTCCCCAGTCCAAAAATCGGACTGATTCTCTAGTCCTTTTCCTTCTTATCACATGCCACCAGTAAGGGACTGCTCCTAAGGCGCTGGGATGCTGCTCCAGCTGCTGGCAGGGGCATTGGGATGGGACGGGATGGGATGGGATGTGCTGCTGGTGGCTTGAGCTGCTCATAGGAATCATTCCACCAGCTCTGCTCATAGCACGTTGCTCGGGTGGGCAAGGTCTCGAATCGCGTCCAGTGGGGCCTGATCTTGGGCAGGATTTGTCCAGGAGAGCCTGGGGCTGGTTGTTGACGTGTCCTTTTCGGCTCGTTTCATTCATGCAGGTGGGTGAGACAGCAGAGCGAGCTGGCCAAACAGGCTGAGAACCCTGAGCAAGGACCCAAACTGGATCTGGGCTTCAAGGAGGGGCAAACCATCACGCTCAACATCGCGGTGAGGGATGAATCTGCTCCTGAACCTTCGCCCTGGGGTGGCACGAGAGGAAGCGGTGCCTTCACCCTGAAATCCCCCGTGCGGGGAGAAGCCCAGAGCGGAGCCCTTCGTGATAGTGCCACGTGTGGCGATTTCCAGAGGAGTTGTGTTACAGTTCCTCGTTACGGAACCGGGTCTGTGGGTTTGCGGTGGGGATTTTTGGGCAAAAAAACATCCTCGGTTTGACGCGTTTTTGCTGCGCTGGCAGCGGGACGTCGCAGCAGAGCGGTTGTTTTCTGCAGGATAAAGCAATTTGGCTTTCTCCGAGCTGCAGCTGGGAGGATTCACGCTCTGGTTTTAAACGTGACGCCACCCAAGTTTCCCTCCCTTCTTTCAGAACATGAAGAAAAAGGAAGGAGCGGTGGGCAGCACCAGACCACGGCCTGTGAGTCTTGGGGGCCTGAGCTTGCTCCCACCACCTCCCGGAGGAAGATCTTCCGCTCCGGTTTGTCCTGCGGGAGAGCGGCCGTCTTCGCTCTCCGCACCCACCCAGCTCCCAGGCACCCCCATCACAGGTCTGTGGTCACGCAGCAAAAAGCTCTTGACTTTTATCCATCAAAGTTAGGAAAACAGAGGGAGAATTTGAGAATAAGAGTGAAAAATAACTCCTGGTGGTTTTTTTTTTCTCTCTCCTGGCCGCTGACAGACTCCCTCTTGTCCTGGCCGCAGCCCGCTGCCGCTCCTGCCACCGCCACCGAGGTCTGGGGAGACTTTGCCAAAGCTTCGGGGTGAGGCCCTCTGGGATTTGTGGGTGAATCCAAATCCTACTCGTTTTGCCGCAAAAAGCAGCCCTGCTGGGGTGGGGGCACCGCTTCACCCAAACGCTTGTTGGGGATTTCAGAGTCCTCCGCTGCTCTGGGCCGCTTCGTGCGGCGGGAAGAGTTTTGGGGTGACTCCAGAGGACCCATTTCTGGCTGTCACAGCTCCTTTCGGTGACTAAAATCTCTTTTTCCTCCTCTTTTTTTCTTTTTTCTTTCTTTTTTCTCCAGGTCATCTCCTAACCAGACTCAGACTAACGCAGGCTGGGTTCAATTCTGATCTGAGCCCCTTGTCCGCTTTTCCCCGCGCTGGGTGCTGGGATTGTCGCGATTCTTTTGGGACCAAAGCAGGGGCTTCAGGACGCGCCTCTCCTGCCCTTAAATCCCCCCACGCCCGGCATCAAAATACTGAATTAAATGCCAGAAAGCGAATAAATCTGTGCCTTAAAACACTCCACATCGGGGGCTTTTTAGTTTCTACCCGGATCGCAGCAAAGCTCAGAGGCAAAAAGAGCCGTCGGCTTCGTTGCCCCTCCTTAACGATGAGAGGGTGAGCGCAGGAGGACTCTCGCTGCCCCAATTCAGGTAATTTTCGCCCGAGGTTTATGCAAGAGAACCTCTTTGCAGACTTCGCCACGTGTTTGGGCTGGATAAATCCTTCCAGCACCCTCCTGGAAAGAGCTCGCCTGAGAAACCCGGACAAATGTCTCGCCAAGACGCTGAGCGTCGCCCCAGGTTTTTTTAACGAGCGCTTCCCCCTTCGAGGCAGGGGGGGGGGAGTCTGCATTTGGATGCTGAAATTCTTAATTTCCTTCTCTGGGAAGTTTGATTTTTTCCTCCTCTATTTCGATGACCGATTTCTACTTCTTTCCACGGACGTTTTATGAAGCGGCGCGTGCCGCGAAGGAGTTGATCTCTTTGACAGAGCTGAGGTTTGAGATTCCTCTTTAACCAAGTATTTTCTTACCTATTTATGTCTTTTGGGGTACAAAGTCCTGCTTCTTATTTTTTCCTCAGTGCCTTGGATTGTTATAATTTTCTATTTCCAACCGGAGGCCGAGCATTTCGGTTTCCGAGCTTCCCTGTGCCTGGCAGCGAGCGCGCAACCCCAGGCGAGAGATGTAACGCTTCGAAGCAAATAATAAAATGGTTCTGACGCCAAATAGGGTTTTTATTTCTTTTTACCCTCCCCGTGGTGTGAGCTTGGAGGGGGTGCGACGAGCTTTTGTGGTTTTCCCCCTCCTTGCCGGTGTCGAGGAGACGCTGTCAGGCTGCGACGCACAACAGACGCTTGTTGCTTAGCAGGGATTTTTACGGGTGGGAAGGACTCGGCGAGTGGAAGGTAAGAAACGGGGCTGGAAAAAAACAACAAAAAAAAGAGGTTTCTTGTCCCCAAAGCGGGGTTGGGGGGGAAGCCTTGAGGCAGCTCCTGCTTGGCCGGAGGGACCCAAGATGCCCTCAATCCTCCGTCCCGTCTGCTCGCCCCCGCACAGGCTCTCCCCTTCGCCGTTAATCCGCGGCTCCCCGGGCTGAGAAAGGCGCTTGGGAAGAGAAAGCGGCTGCGAGACCCCCGCTCCCCTCCCCGGAGGGG